TAGTGACTAATTTGAATATGGCAGTTATATTTGCACCTTGATCTAGTCTAAAACAAGAAGCTTTGTTTCTGCAGGATCAGTAATCTCCAGTTCATTTTTCATTCTATATACAGACTTAGAAAAGAAGAAATCCATGCATTGTCTGGACCCAATGAATTTCAGGAGTTTTATAGCAGGCTAAAGATTATCAAAGAATTTCACAGAAAACATCCAAATGAGGTGAGACTGGTTCCAATTGTCAGCAGGAATATGCAGTCTCAAGGAAATGTTTTTCTACACCAGCATCAGTTTTTTTCAAACCATATTGATTCTATATTGTTTGCGTTCACCATTTGAAAGTTCACAAAATTTTCGCAAAAACATTATTTTCATTCATGCACACATGATGAAGAAAAAATATAATTTATAACATCTTAGTAATGTATATGTACATACATTTGTAAGATATTTCTCAGGACAATATCCAAGGATGTGCATTTAACTTGTGAAAACCAGGAGGCACACAGACTCACATTTCAAAAGTGTCACATCATCAAATTTTCAAATTATTTTTCTGGTACAAAATATTTGTTTAAAAAAAAGTGCTAAGAAATTAGAAAAGATACAGAAATGGGCATTTTTAGAACAATTTCCTAGCCGCATTAAAGCGTTATTTCATCAAAATTGTATAGTAACCATTCGATTGTCCTAATAATTCTTCACAAACATAAGTAACCCAATTACATCCGAATTTTTACACTATATTTAACTGAACTTTTTACCACTGGAACCCAAGGTTCTCCCCAGGGCATTACAGAGTCGGGGTTCCCAACTGTTAAATTTTGGATAAACAATAGAACCAATTTATCATAACAATGAATATAATGGAAGTCATTAACATACTATATTGTTATGCAAATTGGCCAATACTGTATGCAATTTTGGGGGGAGAACACTAAAACCAATGGTGAATGTCCTAAAATCACAATTTTCATTGATATTTGACCTGTAGTTTGTGTGAAAACTAGTTTGGTGATCATCTTTTAATCTGGGTTTTGTAAACAACACCATAAAACAAAACCATAGTATAAACATCAAAGAAAGCCGTTCAATTGTTTTAATAATGGCTAACCACCTTAGCTCATGAATATTAATTAATTAGTAACCTGCACTCAAATCAGGCTGGACTGAACCCTTGTGTGTATTGTTTTCCTGATGACCAACCTTACAGCCCGGATAAAAAAAGTTTTCCCCATTATTTGTATCAACAGATCAGTGTACCAATGTCTGTGGAATTTGAGGAATTGGCAAAAGCCAGAGAGAATCCATCTGAGGAAATGAACAACATGGTTGACTTCAGCGATGAAGAAGGCTATGGCAAATATCTAGATCTTCATGAATGCTACGATAAATGTGTCAATCTAAAAGGAGCAGAAGTAAGCTGATCAGAACATACACAGTAATTCAGATTATTGGACATCTGGCACCGAAAATAATGATAGATGTTATCCATCTGCTCTGAGTCAAACATCAAATTGATAACCTGGAACACCTTCAATGTTTTCGACTTAGTTTACCCTTGTATAATGGAATTTGCTAGCATTCCATTGCAGAGTGCAGATAGGACTTTTTATGAAACATTTAATTCTAATAATTTCAGAGATGCATGTATAATATTAATTCATTTGTTAAGGTCTCCAAATAAAGTTGACAATGAGCTTTAAAGGCTTCTGAACAGGCTCAACGGCATTCAAGAGTTAACCACTGGCCATTCCTCCCATCACAAAAAAGACATTTTAAAACAGTTAACTTGATCTAAAATTATTAAGCTTATTAACGCTAAGAATATACTAAGAAATCACCAACAACTTGTGTTTTCATTTAACAGAGAATTGATTATATAACCTACCTGCAATCGTTTGATCGTTTGTTCGAGATTCCGAAAGACCGAAAGTTGAATGCTGACTATAGAAGGTAGGTCTTTGCATGGTAACTTTTATTGTGTCAGACTACAGTTCCTAACATTCAATGTTTTACGTTACCTGACTTTATTTTAGGTGGAACTAATTTCCATTGGCAATACTTTTGGGCTGTTTTGTATGAAGTTCTGTTTCACGGATTTTTGATAAGTTGTGTATGTCAAATATAGGAAAAAAGATATTTTCACTAAATTTTATTTTAACTGATTCCTTCTTTCAGCGAAAACAGTGAAAATAAAGTACTTCATAGTACTGTATAATGACCAATTTTTACTGAATCTTAGTTTCATTCCTTCAGGGAAAACAGTGAAAATAAAGTACTTCACAGTACTGTAAAATGACTAATTTTCACTGGGTTTTAATTTCACTGATTTAGCATTTCAGGCATATTCAGTGTTTTATCATTTAGATAATATGTTCTATGCTGAATTTTACTTATTCACTGGGTTTTAATTTAGCGCATTTTCCAGTCAGCGAAATCAGCAAAATTAAAACCCAGTGAATAATTAACCCTTTTACAGTATTTTGCCATGTTTGAACGAGTGATCAATATCTTGTACTGTGAATATACTGTTGATTCTACACCAAAAAGAGGGTGATGTACGTGATTGATGTGCAACATATTTTAACTGTTGATCTTTTGTGCAGGTACTTGGAGACATTATTGGAATATTTACAAGACTACACCAACCGAGTGAAACCATTGCTTGATCTATCAGAGGAAGTGGAGACACTCGAACAAGAATTCATAAAACAATGGGATGCCGGGATATTTCCTGGCTGGCCTGTAAGTCTGCGTTACTGTTATCTTCCACTCTTGAGTTGAGTTCACTACAGACTAGCTGGGTGGACAGTGCTACCAATTTGCTGACACCACTGAAAGTATGGTTCAGTAAAACCATTTTTTTTTTCATTATGGCTATCCGCTAAAAACGTTTTAGTTTAATTTACAAGATACATGTATGAATATATGAAAAAGTTATTATATATTCCGAACAAAATTTTGCCAAATATTTTCTCATCTGAAGAACCCAAATAAAATCTTCACTGCGACAGTACTCGTGATTTTTTCCTGGAAATTCACCATTTCATGATGATCTGATCTAAAGCAGTTTACTATATTCTTATGTTTAACAGAAAGAGACTACAAGTGCATTGACACATGCTGGTGCTCACTTGGATCTGTCTGCATTTTCATCTCCTGAGGTAGGTCCAATTACAGTAAATATGCAGTAATTTATTGGTAATATGATGCTCTGGTTTTCCCTTAATTATGGTCTGCAAGCTAAAAATGGCCTGAACATATTATGAAAGTAGTTAGGGGGGGTACATTATTAAAATCTCTTCAAAATAAATTTGGAGAAGGATAATAAACTTTTCTGGGGCTTGATTTGGGTGACTGGAATGGTCACTGGAATGGGCTACTGTAAAATACATTTTGGGTGTTTTGTATGGAATTTATTTTCACTGCTTTTTGATGAGTAGAATGTAAAGTATAGGAAAAAAGGTATATTTGCTGGATTTTATTTTCACTGAATCATTACTTCAGTGAAAATTAATTTCAACCAAAAATAAAGTATTTGAATACTATGCAACAGTACTGTTATATTGTGATTTTCATGTACCGTTAGCCATAAGCTATATTATTTACAAATTTGTTTGTGCATGAGCTAAAATGACTTTGTTGTATTTCTTAGGAGTTGGCATCACTTGGATTGGACAGATTGAAGTCTGCCCTCATGGCACTGGGCTTGAAATGTGGCGGGTGAGTGAGCTCAAAGTTTATTTGTAGAGGTCAATGTTTCTGAAAACTAACTATTGCTATAGTTATTCGTCAATGAAAATAATTTTGTTCATACATCATGCGTCTTATGAATTGAAGACGACACAATGCATCAACGTTCTTTTCTACATTCAACACAGTGTGATATGAATATAATGATGGCACGGTGTGGTATGAAATAAACTAAAAACTGCACTTCATTGTTCGAAATATTACTTACCAGTAGTAAAATTTCAAGTCAATCTATTATTTATCAAACTCAGTCACATGATGCGTGCTGATCCATGATCCCCAGCACTCACATTTGCCAGTGATTGAGTTTGATAAATGATAGATCGACCCGAAACATAACTAAAAATTTTTTCTACTGAAAGGATGTTTGACGGCAGTTTTTAAATCGTACCATACCGTATCATTACTGTATTATTTGACTCCTCTGGAGAATCTACCTTTGTCCGTTCACCAGCTCTCACTGATGCCACAGTTTGCGGGGACTACGGTACTTTTTCCATACCACATCATACAAATGTACTGTAACAATAAATTTAATAGCATGTTACTTGCAGAATGTAAATGCTATGCAATTCTGTGAGAGACCTAGGTGTAAATTTTTTGAGTTGGGAGGGAGGGAGGTGGGGGGGGGGGGTCAACATTTTCTGCTGTTCCCAAAAATTTTCCATATGAATGTCCTTCAATTGTGTAAAAGTAAATAAATTACTAGTGTGAAATATTGTGATTGCATCTATTCCAGCACACTTGAGGAAAGGGCACAGAGACTGTTTGCAACAAAAGGAAAGTCTTTGGATGAGCTGGACCAAACCATGTTTGCTAAGAGTAAACCAGGAAAGGCTGGTAGAAAGTAAGTTTGCGTTTAAGCTGCAGACCAGCAATCAGTCTTTTCTTTTGTTGATCTGATTCTAGTTACAACGAGACTTGACTAAACTGAATTTCTAGATGAGAAAATAGTTTTCTATTACAAAAGTTTATTGTATACTGTATTTGTTCTATTAGTAGCACATGCATTTACGTAAATGTAAGTGGTGTGTCAATGGCTAAAGAATAATGTATTAATGAACCAGTATCCAATGACACTGTTTTTGTTTCTTCCTATTATAGCAAAGACAATTCTGAAAAACAGAAAGATATTGCGTTTCTTGAATCGCAAGTTTATAGGCTGACAGAAATTCTTGGGGTAAGTTATTATAATACTTACTGTTGGTTTTACAGATTTGTTGTTGGTATTAACATTATACAATGGTGTGATATATATACATGTAGTTAAAGGGTTGCGTTGGTCTTCCCTGTGATGATGTGAAATGTGTTATTGTTTTGTCAGAGTAGGTCACCAAATCCACCATTTTGTTCAGCCTTGTTCACAGCTAAAAAAGTAGACATATTTATAACTGGCACAAGAATAATAGTGCAGTGTTTTTGTTCAAGTAGTAATTTTCCCTAGGATTCATTACAGTTGGAGTTGAATACATATTTATCATCTTCCTCTATTGTCCGTAACGTTCAGTAGTTACGCTACTTAGTCTAAAAATGTTGAGCATGGTTGTGAGAAAAAATTGAGGAATCTCTGGCGGTATCATTCAAAGGAATACCTTAAACATATTGAAAGTACTGTTAGTTTATGATTTGCCACCACATTTCAATCTTTGCAGGAACAACGGTTGTCAACGGTCGAAAATGTGCAGCGCAAGCAAGCGAGAACAGACACAGAGCGTGAAGAGGAGGAAGAGGAGGCGTTTAGCGACACTGACAGTGAAGACGAAGAAGAAGATGCCATCTATAATCCTAAAAATCTACCCCTGGGTTGGGATGGTAAACCTATACCATACTGGTTATATAAACTACATGGCTTGAACATCAGTTATAACTGTGAAATATGCGGTAACCATGTCTATAGAGGGCCTAAAGCATTTCAAAGACATTTTGCTGTAAGTTTTTGTCTGTGATGGACTTGTGATTATGAGGTGGATGCTAACATTCAAATTATTTAATATTTGTGTTACATGGTAATACATCATTCTAGCTGGGGATGAATATCAATCTCATTTCTGTCACCACCATAGTGTGTTGGACATCGAAACAGCTGCATGGTTACAAATTGTGCCATTTGATTAAATGCATGCAGTTTACTATCATTATAACATGTCGATATCCTGACATGTGATACTGTGTCAGTACATAAATTTTGTTTAATTTTTGAGGATAATTTTACCATGAAACAATTTGAATAATGAATAGGATAAATATTTTATTGATATTCCATGTGTCTCTCAGTACTAGTACAACATCTTTCCAGTTACCTGCTCACATTCATATGATAGAAGATCTCAATCAAGATTACTTCCAAGTAAATTACTCCTGTAATCATTTTTACTGCCTTAGTGCGTTTGTTTTTGTGTCATATTCTAAAACACACACTCTAATTAGGCATTAGAAATTGTGATATTGAATGAGACTCTTCTTGTAGAGATCCATGTGCAGATTTCACAATCAGATAACAAAATGACATCACAAAAATTAATGTCAGGTGAAGTGGCAAGCAAAAAAATAAATAATAGATGGTGATTATGTCTGTCTGATTTGATTTGATGGACTTCTACCAATCTTGCACTTGTCAATTTTATAGAATTGATACCACTTACATTGCCATATCAAAATAGAAACTAACATTTTATTTTGTTTTTGCTGACAGGAATGGAGACATGCTCATGGTATGCGATGTCTTGGCATTCCCAACACTGCACATTTTGCCAATGTTACTCTCATAGAAGATGCTGTAGCATGTAAGTAAAGTTTGTTTTAAATCCTAACTGGAAAAGAAAAGACACATCTGTCCTCCCATCCTTGAATACCCTTGTCGTTCAGTCTATGTGTGGGATTTAGCGTCATCCCATGTGATCATTGAACTATTCGTCCAAGATGGTTTTATCTTCAGAGGGGAAAAGGTAGCAATTCCACAGTATCTTCAGTCAATACTTTTTTGCACCATGTTTTGAGTGTTGTTTTTATATAATGAGAGTGCGATCAGTCGTTGTTTCAACAGTCGTGATTTAATCACATTGGAGGCGGACATCTTGGATTACAACAACATGCACAGAGAATGACCTCAGGTCATAGCCTCGTTCTGGCTCTATGCTAATTCAAATATAACATGTTAAAACAAATGAGCATCAATAATGACATATTGTAACAATAAATATTTCTACCAATCACTACACTGTATCTAGCCATAGTAATGAAATTATCTATTTTGTGTCCCAGAAGAATTTAATGGGATACCCAAGACCATTCGTCCCGGTGTTATCGCTATCGCCACACGAGACTCCAGCTTGTCTCCTATACAATTTGACTGCGCACATCCAGAAAGTAGATGTAGCTGTGATTGGTGGAATACTAATGAGTTGAGTGTCAATCAAACGCCCACGCTATCTTTAGTAAACAAAGTCGCGTGACACGCGCCATTTTAGTTTTGGCAGGCGATTTCAAGGCAGCACGCTTAACCCTTTCGTTCACAGGTTGGGAGATATTAGAATGACTGACAATTTCACGCCACTGTTTTACATTATTGGCGGATTTTTCTGCGCTATCAATCTTTCTCTTACAAACTAGACATAGATGAGACGACAGAGTCGCTCCTTTCACAACGTCGCACTGGATCAAATTGGAAAGACGATTTCCATAAGTTATCCCTCCTGCTTTTCCTGGCTTGAATAAATTCACACACGACTTTAACTGTCCACAAACTAGAAGACTACACGAACACAGTCTACAATAGTCGTCCGC